CTGGGGCGCCGGGCGGCGTGCCGTTGCTATGGGAACGGGCCGGGGCCAGCACTCCCAGGCCCCGGGGGTGGGTCGCAGGAAGCTGGAGCCCGGGGTGGAGGGGAGAAAACCGACGTGCGGGGAGCCGGGATGTGCTTCTGGAGGGAAGGTCGCAGAGGCCAGTGGGAGGAAGTGGAGTCAGCGGGTGGCAGCGCGATGCACCTGACTTGGGTCATGAGAAGTCGATCCTGGTTTCCATAACCGCTGCACTCCCCGTCGCCCCAACAGGTCTCACTGCTGTAAGGATGCCCGTCTTAAGGCACCCTCGAGGTTGGAGCTGCCCATTGTCAGTCCTGCTGCTGCTGCTGCTGCTGCTGGGCACAGGCCGTGGACCAGGGGTGGAAGGTGTGACTCACTACAAGGCTGGCGACCCCGTCATTCTCTATGTCAACAAAGTGGGACCCTACCACAACCCGCAGGAGACTTACCACTACTATCAGCTTCCAGTCTGTTCCCCTGAGAAGATTCGTCATAAAAGCCTTAGCCTAGGTGAAGTGCTGGACGGGGATCGCATGGCGGAGTCTTTGTACAAGATCCGATTTCGAGAGAATGTGGAGAAGCGGATTCTGTGCCATCTGCAGCTCAGTTCTGCACAGGTCAGCCTGCCCAAGCCTCGTGGCTGTCACTCAGCCTTCCCCCAGGGACTAATCACAGTGCTTTACAGTCTCACAGGGTACAGTTAGGGTTTTCAGGTTACCTTGGTGAGAATTATCTGACTTGACCCCTACTACCACCTTGAGAGTGTCTGGAGGTCTGGTGGGGTTATTCAAGTTCAGTGGATAAAGAAACTGAGGTGTGGTAGCTTGGTCAAGATTACAGGGAGTGTGATTCGCAGAGATAGAAGAGCCCAGGGCTCCTGAGTCCAAGGTCCCTCTGCTGGGCCCTTCCATACCCACCTCTTGACTTTCTTAACTGGGTACTTCTCCTCTCTATTGAACCTGCCTCTGTCCTACTCTTTCTCTAACAAATCTTAGGACAGTGTCCCTTAGTTCACAGCAGACCTTCTTAAACACCTTACCTTGCTTGCTTTTTTTTTTCCCCAAAAAAACTGACACACTGGACCAGGTATGATATGATAATGCAATGATCAAGGGGGAAAACTTTGTCCCCCAATGGATATTTGACAAGCTCTAGAAACATCTTTGTTACACAGGAGGGTGTGGGGCCAAGGCCAGGGTTGCTTCATCCTACAATGCACAGGACAGTTCCCACAATCAAGGATTCCCTGGTCCAAGAGGGGCGGTAGTGCCACAGTTGAGAAACCTCTCCCTGGGGAGGCCTTGTCTGACACCTGCCTTACTCTTTGTAGGTAGAACAGCTGCGCCAGGCCATTGAGGAACTCTACTACTTTGAATTTGTGGTTGACGACCTGCCAATCCGTGGCTTTGTGGGCTACATGGAGGAGAGTGGCTTCCTGCCACACAGCCACAAGATAGGACTCTGGACCCATTTGGACTTCCACCTGGAATTCCACAGGGATCGAATTATATTTGCCAATGTCTCCGTGCGGGATGTCAAGCCCCACAGCTTGGACGGGTTACGGACCGATGAGTCCCTCGGCCTCACCCACACTTACAGTGTGCACTGGTCTGAGACCTCCGTGGAGCATCGGAGTGACAGGCGCCGTGGGGATGATTCGGGCTTCTTTCCTCGGACACTGGAGATCCACTGGCTGTCCGTCATCAACTCCATGGTGCTGGTGTTTCTGCTGGTGGGCTTTGTGGCGGTCATTCTCATGCGGGTGCTTCGTAACGATCTGGCTCGGTACAACCTGGATGAAGAGAACAGCTCTGGAGATGACTTTGACCAGGGTGACAATGGCTGGAAGATTATCCATACAGATGTCTTCCGCTTCCCACCGTACCGTGGCCTGCTCTGTGCGGTGCTTGGCGTGGGTGCCCAGTTCCTGGCCCTTGGCACTGGTGAGGTGATAAGAATTAACCAGGGATTTTTCTCAAGGGATATTATTAGGTAGGTAGCCTATTCAGAAAAAGGCCTGTGGATCTTCTCTTCTACCCAAGAGGAGGGACAGACCTGAGGAATGGGATTTTCTGGCTAAGCGTCGGGGAGACGGCTTTGCTAGAAGCCGTCCGTTGGGGAGGAGGAGGGTCCTAACCTTCCACTACCACCCTGCAGGTATTATTGTCATGGCGCTCCTGGGCATGTTCAACGTGCACCGACACGGGGCCATTAACTCAGCAGCCATCTTGTTGTACGCCCTGACCTGTTGCATCTCCGGCTACGTGTCCAGTCACTTCTACCGGCAGATCGGAGGCGAGCGTTGGGTGTGGAACATCATTCTCACCACTAGCCTCTTCTCTGGTGAGGACTTCCCTCTTTCCCTGGTGGGTTACCTGGACTTAGGAACTTGGAGCTCATCTTGTAACCCAAATTAGAGGGAGGCTTTAAGGCAGGGGTCCTCAAACTACGGCCCACGGGCCACATGCGGCCCGTCAAGGACATTTGTCCGGCCCGCCGGGTGTTTTTGCCTCATTTTGTTTTTTACTTCAAAATAAGGTATGTGCAGTGTGCATAGGAATTTGTTCATAGTTTTGTTGTTGTTGTTTTTTAACTACAGTCCAGCCCTCCAACGGGTCTGAGGGACAGTGAACTGGCCCCCTGTTTAAGAAGTTTGAGGACCCCTGCTTTAACGGACTTAATGAAACTAGGTCAAAGAAACCGAGTAAGATAATATCCAAAAGACAAGGATGTATCCCATGTACATAGTTGAAAATTACTAAATCCTTGAAATGACCTCGGCATCGTATTGAATTCAGACAGCCAAGGGGTTTACCTAAGATCATACTTCTAAGAAGTAGTAAACCAGGTTTCAGACCCACAACTTGTATTTTCAACCACTACATTGAAATACTAAGACAGCTCTCTTGAATTATTTATCCTCCACTTTTATTTTGTAGTAGGGCAATCCCACTGTAGTCTTTTAAGCCAGTTTGCCTTTTCAAAGCCAGAAGTAGTCTCCTGTCAGGATACCTGCCCTAACACATCTTCACGGGTCTGGTAGGCGCAATTGTACAGCGATAATAAGTAACGATTATAGTAAAGTCATATAGAATAGAAGAGATAGAAAAATGGAGTCAGACACATTTCATGGTAGCAATGCTCACCTCAGTCTCACTTGGCCCACGTGGAGAGGGAGATATTTAATGCTAACCTAGGCTTTTATATTCTCTGGGGACATGCAAGCCCCCTAATTACAGGTGAAGACATACGTCACAGGAAAGGGTTGTGCTATAGGTAACACAGTGATGGGAGGGGTGTGGTCTAGGGGTATACACGCAATAGGAAGAGGAAGGATTGGCAGTACACGGGAGAAGTAGTCTATTGTCCTTAGCAGCCTCCGGAGAGCAGGCCTACCTGAGGTGGGAAGAGACAGTAAGTAGTCTGGCAGCTGACTGCCTTCAGGGAGGATGTCTCTAAGTATCTGACCTCGCCCCATATGCTAGCAAAAAGCCTCTAATGTTGGCATATCTTTGGGGGAGACAAAGCTGGGGAAAAGTCTCTTTATAATCCCACACTCTACATTTAGAACCTTTCTTGTTTTCCATTCTAAGTGTCTAATTTATATCCCATTAGGTTATATGTGAACGAGGACCTTCTGAAAACAGGCCCTTAATGCAAAGGAATGTCTCAGGCTAGGAATTGCAGGTCCCTGGGACCAGGTGTCACTCTTAGATCATCAGGTAGAAGCCACATTGCTCCTGAATGACATGGGGTAGAGGAAGGGGTGTTGGTAACACAAGAAACAATGGGACATGGGTGGGAGCAGCTAAGGGCAGTGGGATCTGCCTGGACATCCAGGAGTACCACTTGGCAGGTTGCTTCACCCCTGCCCCCTAACAGTCCAAAGAGGGTGGTCCCAGGAAGTAGTTCCCAGTGCTGACCCTTGCTCCTGGGACACATCCCTGCAGTGCCCTTCTTCCTGACGTGGAGTGTGGTGAACTCGGTGCACTGGGCCAATGGTTCAACGCAGGCGCTGCCGGCCACCACCATCCTGCTGCTGCTGACGGTGTGGCTGCTGGTGGGCTTTCCCCTCACGGTCATTGGCGGCATCTTTGGGAAGAACAACGCCAGCCCCTTTGATGCACCTTGTCGCACCAAGAACATCGCCCGAGAGATCCCACCCCAGCCCTGGTACAAGTCTACTCTCATCCACATGACCGTGGGGGGCTTCCTGCCTTTCAGGTATGCCCCCTTTATTACACAGCATCACTCTCAGGCTTCTGACCTTGTCTTCCCACCCTGAACCCTAACCCAATTCAGTGACAATGTCTGGTTCAGCTGTGACACTAAGGGGTCATGGTAATGACATGGTTTCTTTTAGCCCCAGGCAGGAGTGAGCTGGGATTGACTCAGATATGTGATGGTTCACTTTTAAAGCTCTCTAGAGCCACTACCTTCTCCGTCTCTCTGGTTTGACTCTAGGACCTGTAAACATCATGGGTGGGTGGGTGGGTGGGGAGGAGTTTAAAGCAAATTAATTCATTGGTGACTCAACTTGTTTGTACTAGACATATAAAAATCCAAACCAAACTCACTGCCATCGAGTCGATTGCTCCTTTACCCCATAGGGCAGACTAGAACTGCTCTGATGGTGGGTTTCTGAAATTGTAATCTTTCAGTAGAAAGCCTCATCTTTCTCCCTTGGAGTGGCCGATGGTTTTAAACTGCTGACCTTGCGGTTAGAAGCCCAATGCCTAACCCACTATGCCACCAGGACTCCTACCAGACAGCTAGTACAGTGGAAAATCAGACAGGATCCCTGCTCTTAATCTAGTTTATAGGTTCCTGAAGTTATTTGATCTACCATTCCTTTTCAAGAAAAAAAAAATTACTCAGCACTCCAATTTTTTAAAAACATTTGCACTGTAGTCCATAATCCAGGATAAGGTGTATGTAGCAGCTCCTTGGCCGCCCCTGGACCGTTCCAGCACCCCTAGGGGGCCGCATCAACTACTTTGGGAAACACTGATGTAACACCTATTTGGAAACACTAGGCAAAGGAACCTTCCCCTATACAGCCAGGAAATGCGGGGCAGGGAATGGACCTTCTTTCCCGGCGACCCAGCACACACCAGGAGGCTGCACTTGCTGGATTGCGCCCTCGTAACGCAGTGTACGTTTCTTCTGCCGGCAGCGCCATCTCCGTGGAGCTGTACTACATCTTCGCCACGGTCTGGGGCCGGGAGCAGTACACGCTGTACGGCATCCTCTTCTTTGTCTTCGCCATCCTGCTGAGCGTGGGCGCCTGCATCTCCATTGCGCTCACCTACTTCCAGCTGTCCGGGGAAGATTACCGCTGGTGGTGGCGGTCCGTGCTGAGCGTGGGCTCCACCGGACTCTTCATCTTCCTCTACTCCGTTTTCTACTACGCCCGTCGCTCCAACATGTCGGGCGCGGTGCAGACAGTCGAGTTCTTCGGCTACTCCTTGCTCACCGGTTACGTCTTCTTCCTCATGCTGGGCACCATCTCGTTTTTTTCGTCCCTGAAGTTCATCCGTTATATCTACGTGAACCTGAAGATGGACTGAGTTCCGAGTGCTACACTACTGCTCTGCAGCCCTTTCTTCCAGACCCACTGGTCTCCCGCCAGCTGCCTCCACCGAGGGGCGGCATTGTGTGATGCCATTGTCGCCTTTCCTCCTCCCTAGAGAGGGCCTGCAAATAAGAAGTCTATTATTTGAGGAGATACTTGGACTTTTAAGTTGCCATTAGTTTCGGTCCCAATTTTTCTTTTTACATATATCGAAATAAAATTTATTAAGAAAAAGGAGCCTGTAGTTGGAGGGTTTGGTCTGGATGTAGGCACTGGAGCCCTGCGTGGCAAGCACGGGGTGTGGGAACTAATCGCAGGGGGAACCGACATTGTCAGGGCCCTGTTTCCGCGCCTCAGCCGGCGGCGGCCTAACGGAAGTGGAGGAACCGGAAGCCTGTGGAGAGAATTGAATTACCCGGGCGACGGGAGGAACGCAGAGCAATGCCCTTTCCGCCGGAAGTAGATGTCAGCGCCTCCACGTGCAGCGCCGGCCCCCTCCCGGCCCGGTAGCGGTGGCTCCACTGCTGCCATGGCGCCTACCGGCCTGGAGCAGATCCTGCGGGAGCTACTCCTGCCAGACACCCAGCGTATCCGGCGGGTACGGGGCAGGAGGGACCGGGCCAGGGCGGGCGGGAGGTGGCAGGAATGGCCCGCCTCTGACCCTCAGCCTTCCCCCAGGCCACCGAGCAGCTTCAGATCGCGCTAAGGGAGCCTGCCGCCCTGCCCGCGCTCTGCGACCTGCTGGCCTCGGCGACCGACCCCCAGGTGAGCGTGCCCCAGCTCGCCCCAGCTCCCGTCGCCTGCTCCTCCGTGCCCCGAGCCTCACACTTGTCTCCTCCACGTAGATCAGGCAGTTCGCGGCCGTGCTAGCCCGCAGACGGCTGAGCACCCGCTGGCGGCGGCTGGCGGCGGAGTCTCGGGAGAGGTGGGCGGGGCCTTTGGGGGCGGGGCCGGGCCTGGCGGTACACGCCCTGGCCCACCTGCCCTCAACATCGCCCGTTCGTCTTCCAGCCTCAAGGCCCTGGTCTTGACGTCCCTGCAGAGAGAGGCGGAGTAAGTGCCTTCCGCCTTCTCTCTGGATCCTGTCCGACTCGGGGCTGAGAGCTTGAATGGGTTTTGCCTTCTCGTGCAGTTTCAAGCAGTGATTGGGGTGGTGGTGGTGGTAACAACTTCAGTTCAAGACCAAGGGTAGAGGGAGGATCCATCCCAACGCCCCATTGAAAAGAAAGTTCTTGAGGATGGTCTTATGGTGACAAACCAAGCCCGAGTCAGACGAATGGGATGGGAATACAACTGGAGAGTGAGCTCACCAGTTTAAAAACCCACCACCCCACCCCAGCCTGAAAACCACTCTCTCATATGCCTCAACTTGTGCCTACACCTCCTGAGTGTCTGTGGGAGCTTGGCCTTTCAGCATGTGTGCGAGAGCGTAATTGGAGGGTGATATGGGGGGATCACCCCTGTTTGCAGGCATTCTGTGACCCTCAGCCTGGCCCAGCTGACAGCCACCATTTTCCGGAAGGAAGGCCTGGAGACCTGGCCTCAGCTCATGCAGCTCCTTCAGCACAGCACCCAGAGCCCTCACCTCTCCGAGAGAGAGGTGCTTGCATGGTTGGCAGGAGGGAGGGATTGGAGGCTGGATAAACCAGGTAAGCTTCTCCCTGTTTGCTCCTGGGCAGAAGGGGCTTTTGTTGCTGAGTGTGGTAGTGGCCTCCCGGCCTGAAGCTTTCCAACCCCACCACCGGGAGCTGCTTCGCCTTCTGAATGAGACCCTGGGTCCAGTGGGCTCCCCAGAGCTGCTCTTCTACTCCCTGCGTACCCTAACAGCCATGGCCCCCTACCTTGGCACTGATGATGTGGTGAGCTGTCCTTGGGCTTTCACACCCTCCCCCTGGCAGGCTACAGAGCGGTGTGAAGTCATTTCCCCGCCTTTGAGGCTTGACTATTGAGAGGGGAGATGGGGTGGCTGGGCTAGGTAGGGTGCCCGACCTCCTCCCCCAAAGTCCAGGCTGTGAGGAAGCTGCCAGCTTCCAGGACCTCAGGTTAGGTGGCACTGTGGTGTCTGATTCAGCTCATCCTGTGCCCTCCAGCCTCTCGCTCGGACATTGGTGCCCAAGCTCCTCGTGGCTGTGCAGACTCTGATTCCTGTAGACGAGGTGAGGACAGGTGGGCAGGGCTCTGTTGGGAGGAGAGTGCCCATGTTAGAAGGGGAGCACCTAGCTTGGTTTACAACGTCTTCCTTCTTCTTCCATCCGTCTGTCAGGCAAAGGCCTGTGAAGCCCTGGAGGCCCTTGATGAGCTACTGGAGTCAGAGGTTCCCATCATCACCCCCCACCTCTCTGAGGTCCTCACGTTCTGCCTGGCGGTGAGCCTGGGGTGGGCTTGCTCCTGCTGCATGCTCTGCTAGGCGTTTGCTTGCCTGCCTCTGATTCCCTTAGTCTCTGGCCAGGTGGCAGGGAACGGAGCCTTGGGCAATGCCATCCGAGTGCGGATTCTCTGCTGCCTCACTTTCTTGGTCAAAGTCAAGAGCAAGGTGAGTGCATGTCCTTGACCTCCAGCCCCCACCACTATCACCACCTTGTCTCCATGTCTAGTTTCACAGCTGGGACTCTGTGTCCACTGTGGTTGCCCTTGACCTCACCCCCCCACCCCTCCGTCCCAGTTCCTAGCTGGGGGACCGGGAATCTCTCTTGTGGCCTGGACGGCTGGATAGATTTACTGTAAGCCCATCTTGGCAGCCAGCTCTTAGGGTCACTCTTCCGCCCTCCCTCTGCAGGCCTTACTGAAGAACCGACTGCTGCCCCCCTTGCTGCACACCCTGTTCCCCATTATGACTGCGGAGCCGCAGTTGGGCCAGCTGGACCCTGAGGACCAGGATTCAGAAGAGGAAGATTTGGAGTTTGGGCTGGTGGGAGAGACGCCCAAGCACTTTGCCGTTCAGGTGGGACATGCCCTCGGGCCAGGGTGGGAGGTGTTAGATTGCTGGGGCAAGTTGGGGCATGCAGAAATGAGTCAGGCAAAATCCCCCCTCCACTTTCTCAGGTTGTGGACATGCTGGCACTACACCTGCCCCCCGAGAAGCTCTGTCCCCAGCTGGTAAGTGTGGCTCTGCCTTCTGGCACCCTCATCTGCAAGCCAGCCTTGTCCCAAGGAGGTTTGGGCCCCGGTTGGTTTGAAGGGCTGGTTGCTACTGAGCTGGCAGGCTCTGGCTGGCGCTCCAGGAGAGGGCCTTGTGCCTCCTCAGATGCCCATGCTGGAAGCGGCCTTGCAGAGTGGGAGCCCATACCAGCGCAAGGCCGGGTTGCTGGTACTGGCTGTGCTGTCTGACGGAGCTGGCGACCACATCAGGCAGAGGTACGGGCTGCCCCTGTCCCTGGCAGCTCTCAGCCTGTGATTAGCAGCGTCCTCCACTCTCTCGCATGTCCTGGCTTGAAAGGCATGGTTGGCGCCCGCCATCAGAGGAGGCGCTGGTTTTCCAAGGGGGGCTGGGAGAGCAGGCCAGCTGGGGTTCTCCGGTCTGACTCCACCCCCTGCTGCTGCTCCCATCCAGACTGCTGTACCCGCTGCTGCAGGTCGTCTGCAAGGGCCTGGAGGACCCGTCTCAAGTTGTGCGCAATGCTGCACTGTTTGCCCTGGGCCAGTTTTCTGAAAACCTGCAGGTCAGCCAGGCCGAGCATGGCAGCAGCAGCCACCCCAGTCCCCACCCAGTTTTCGGCTAGGCGTGCCAGGCCGTGCCTGCAGCTGAGCCTGACTCGTGCCTCCTTTTCTGCCTCCCAGCCTCACATCAGCAGCTATTCAGGGGAGGTGATGCCGCTGCTCCTTGCTTACCTGAAGTCAGTGCCACCGGGGCACACGCACCACCTAGCCAAGGCCTACTACGCCCTGGAAAACTTCGTGGAGAACCTAGGTAGGGATGCAAGGCGGGCCACCGAGGCTGGGAGCAGCCGGGGGGTGCCACTGCTCCTCTAGCCCCTGCTTGTATGGGGTGGGCAGGGCCGGCGGGGAGTCCTGCTGTGGCAGTGAGGAGGGGAGCACTCTCCCACAGGGCCCAAGGTGCAGCCCTACCTTCCGGAGCTTATGGATTGCATGCTGCAGCCTTTGCGGAACCCCAGCAGCCCTCGGGCCAAGGAGCTGGCTGTGAGCGCCCTGGGGGCCATCGGTGAGCAAAAGGAGGCTGGGGCACAGGGTTTGTCCAGAGAGCCTGTGTAGGCCCCAGGCCCTGGCCAACCCCGCTTCTGTCCCTCCCCCTGCAGCCACAGCTGCCCAGGCCTCTGTGATGCCCTACTTCCCTGCAATCATGGAGTGCCTGCGGGAATTCCTCTTGACAGGCCAGGAGGACCTTCAGCCTGTGCAGATCCAGAGCCTGGGTGAGTAAGGGGTCAGGGGAGGGGTGCTCACCTGGCGATCAGCAGGTACCTTCCTTCCCAGTAGGGACAGTACCAGACGCCTCCTGTCTAGGAACAGGATGGCCCTTTCTGAATCCCTGCAGCTTCCACCTTTAGCCCCCAGGTGGTGGCCCTGCCCACCTCCTGCTCAGCTGCATGCCCCAGTGCTAACTAAGCCCTTGCCTCACAGAGACGCTTGGGGTGCTGGCTCGAGCCGTAGGGGAGCCCATGAGGCCCCTGGCTGAGGAGTGCTGCCAGCTGGGGCTGGGCCTATGCGACCAGGTAGACGACCCTGATTTGCGGCGCTGCACGTGAGTGACTTGACTCCTCCCATGTGTCTGCCCACTGGGTTCCCCTTCCCAGCCCTCTCCATCCCCCACCCCCTGCCCCGTTTCTCTGGTTCGGAGCCCTCACTGGCATTCCCCCACCCTGCCCAGCTACAGCACCCAGAACCGCAATCTCCACCTGCCTCCACCAGGTACAGCCTGTTTGCAGCCTTATCCGGGCTCCTGGGGGAGGGCCTGGCCCCCCACCTACCCCAAATCACCACGCTCATGCTGGTGTCACTGCGCTCCACCGAGGGCATCGTGGTGAGTCGGGGGCTGGGCTGCAGGTGGGACAGGGCCAGGCTGGGTGGGCCCCCTCCCCAGCCCAGCTGAGCAGCTGCCCGGTGCATCCTGCATGCAGCCCCAGTACGACGGCAGCAGCTCCTTCCTGCTGTTTGACGAGGAGAGTGACGGCGAGGAGGAGGAGGAACTCATGGACGAGGACGTGGACGCAGACTCGGACTCCGAGATCTCAGGGTGCGGAGGGCTGCTGCTCTGGTTTCTGGTCGGGGGACGCAACCCAGTGCGGTGCCTGATGGCCGCCGCCACCTCCGCCTCCCTCTAGGTACAGTGTGGAGAACGCCTTCTTCGACGAGAAGGAGGACACCTGTGCTGCCCTGGGGGAGATCGCAGTGAACACCAGGTGAGTGGCGCCCCTCTTCTGGCCCAGGGCACCTGCCTGCAAGCCCCTTCTCCATGGCTGTGTTTGCCCACAGCGTGGCCTTCCTTCCCTACATGGAGAGCGTCTTTGAGGAAGTATTCCAGCTGTTGGAGGTGAGTGGGCAGGGGTGCTGGGAGCTGGGGGCCGTGCCTGGGGGCCCTGGGTTTGCTGTGTGCAGGAGCCGACCCCCCTCGCCCCACAGTGCCCTCACCTGAGTGTGCGGAAAGCGGCACATGAGGCCCTGGGTCAATTCTGCTGCGCGCTGCACAAGGCCTGCCAGAGCTGCCCCTCCGAACACAACCATGCCGGTGAGGCGGGCGGGCTGGGGCTGGGCGGGGCATAGGGCAACGGGTGGCTGAGCTGGCCTGGGCCTGAGCCTGTGGTGTCCGCAGCTCTGCAGGCCGCCCTGGCCCGGGTGGTGCCCTCCTACATGCAGGCGGTCAGCAGGGAGCGGGAGCGCCAGGTGGTCATGGCCGTGCTGGAGGCCCTGACTGGGGTGCTGCACCGCTGCGGGAGCACTGCCCTGCAGCCCCCCGGGCGCCTTGCTGAGCTCTGCAGCATGCTCAAGGCTGTGCTGCAGCGGAAGGTGAGTGGGGTGCGAGGGGCCCAGGGCCCAGCCCCTTCATTCCCACGGGAGGAGGAAGGCAGGCGAGCAGGGCCGAGCTGAGCTGCTTCTGCCCACAGACTGCCTGCCAGGACACGGAGGAGGAGGAGGAGGATGAGGATGACGACCAGGTGAGCGCTCCAGTGGACAGGTTTGTCACCGAGGGTGTGGGGGCCACAGCCCCTTTGGCTCAACCTCAGGGAGTCAGAGCTGCTACAAGAGGGGGGTGAGGCCCGAGAGTGACTCCGCTGGATCCCACCAAGCCTGTGGGAGTTTAGAGAAGGTTTCCTGGAGGTGGGGGCCCGAAGTGATGATGGGAATGGGGCGGCTGGAAGGTGAGATGCAAGAAAGCCCAGGCTAGCTCCTGTGGCCAGAGGCAGCGCGTGGTCGGGAGGTGAGCTCGGCCCCCAACCTGACCCCACAGGCCGAGTACGACGCCATGTTGCTGGAGCATGCTGGAGAGGCCATCCCCGCCCTAGCCGCTGCGGCGGGGGGAGATGCCTTTGCCTCTTTCTTTGCTGGCTTCTTGCCATTACTGCTCTGCAAGACGGTGAGTGCTCCATGGTCCACTGACCTTAAGCCCTGCCCCATGTCTGCCACTGGTGCCCCGCTCACCCACCTCCCCACACCCCGCTCCAGAAGCAGGGCTGCTCAGTGGCGGAGAAGTCGTTTGCGGTGGGGACGCTGGCAGAGACCATTCAGGGCCTGGGGGCCGCCTCGGCCCAGTTCGTGTCCCGGCTGCTCCCTGTGCTGCTGAGCACCGCCAGGGACGCCGACCCCGAGGTGCGGAGCAACGCCATCTTTGGGCTGGGCGTGCTGGCGGAACACGGGGGCCGCCCCGCCCAGGAGTATCCTCTGTGTCCAGGACTGGCCTGGGGGGTGGTCAGCCCCAGCGCAGGAACAGCCCGGCCTGTGTGCGCACCAGTTGGTTCCTTGACTGTCCCCCCAGACACTTCCCCAAGCTCCTGGGGCTTTTGTTGCCCCTCTTAGCACGTGAGCGCCATGACCGCGTCCGAGACAACATCTGTGGGGCACTTGCCCGCCTGCTGATGGCCAGTCCCGCAAGGAAACCGGAGCCCCAGGTCAGGGAGGACTTGGGGCAGTGGGCAGGGGTTAGTAAGCTGAGACTCAGGCTGGGCAAGTGGACCTGAGGCCTAGACTCTGTCTGTCCAGGTGCTGGCTACCTTGTTGCATGCCCTGCCGCTGAAGGAGGACTTAGAGGAGTGGGTGACCATGGGGCACCTCTTCAGCTTTCTCTACCAGAGCAGCCCTGACCAGGTAACAGTGGTGCAGGTGGGCTTCCGGGCCCACTGAGACTAGGGCTGAGGCTCAGCTGGCGTCATTGATAGCTGGCCATGACACCTGCCGCACCCATCTGTGTCCTCCTTGTTCACCTGCACAGGTGGGCAGCCCGTCCTGTGCTTCCTGTCCTGACAGCATTTCCTCCGGGAAGCCCCTATGGCCATTTCCACTCCGGGCTGTGCCAGACTGCTAGCTTTCCTGGGCTCTGCAGCGCTCTGGCCCACCACACTGCTCCTCAGCCAGAGAGAGCCCTGCTCTCTGGGCTGGTGCGTGCATCTGCCCCGCGTGGCTAGATGCGCACTCAGCCCAGCGCTCTTTCCTGGGACCCGAAGAAAGAGTCTGTAGGCTTTTACTCTTAAGGCCACAATTTCAGTCAATTTAGGTCACCCCTGCCTGCCGGAGCTCCAGCAGCCCTAGGGGGAGACGGCCTCTCCCTGGGGTCTGGGTGGGGGTCAGCCCCGCCTCTGGAACCTCTGTGCTAACCCCTTTGCCGGGCAGGAGGTGCAGAGGTGCCTCTGCCCTGAGCCTGCCCTCCTTCTCTGCAGGTTGTGGACGTGGCTCCTGAGCTTCTGCGCATCTGCAGCCTGGTGCTGGCTGACAACAAGATCCCCGCAGGTGAGAGTGGGAGGTGGGGCGCAGGGGGCCGAGGGCGGGGAGCCGGTTCTCCTGAGACCTCTCCCTCTGTCCTCACTCTGCCCAGATGCCAAGGCCGCACTGCTGCTGCTCCTGACCTTTTTGGCCAAACAGCACGCTGACAGCTTCCAGACAGCCCTGGGCTCGCTGCCTAGTGACAAGGCTCAGGAGCTCCAGGCCACATTGGGCCTCAGCTAGACCGAGCGGTGGCCAGGCGGAAGATCAGAGCGGCCCAGGCCCAGGCCCTTACACCATTTCCCGGCCCGCTGCAGCTCAGTGCACACCAAAGATCCTGGGCCTCAGCCCACTGCAGTCCCGCCGTTTGCCACCTTACAGGGGCGTCCCCGGGGCAGGACTTGTTAACAACGCAAATGGAGTCTTGACACCAGACTGCAATAAAGCAGGCTTCTGCTCAAACGGTCGTCTGTGGCGGGAAGGCTGTAGCTGTGCATTCAGAAAGGAAGCAGACCAGGCCCAGTGTAGCAAGACGTGGTTTATTGAGTCTGCCTTCCCAGCAGCTTTGTGCGCGTCTTCTAACCGCTGCGGAACCGAGGTCCTGGCTGGATCAAGAGGCGCCCATATGGCGTCTCTTGTTCTAGGCAAAGGATCTGCTGCGCTGCGAGCACTAGGGAGGTGACAATGAGACAGGGTTCAGGGGGACGATCTCCCCGCCCCCACTTCAGTTCCTACAGTGGCCTCTGGCCTGTGTGCCCCCCCACCCGAGACGTGTGCACACTCACCCAAGAGCAGGTAGAAAACCTGGGCAGCCGTCCTGCGGGAGCTGAGCGGTGTCACCAAGCTGCTGAAGTCGGCCTCCCTATTGGCCTGCAGCTCCAGTGCCACAGCCCTGGAGGGACCAGGAGCCGTGAGCTGAGGCCACAGCCTGCATCTCCACCCCAGTGAGGCCTCCCCACCCCACCCCCAGTACCTGTGCACGGCCTCCAGCGACAGCAGCTCGGGCTCCGGGGGCAGCTGGGCCGGCATTTCCACCGGGAGCTCGGGGAGCTCAGGCACCACAGGCAATGCAGGGGGCTCTGGCTGCTCTGCCTCAGTCCATGCCCTGGAGGGTGGGGGGGGGGGCGGTGGCCAGGGTGAGAGCAAGGTTCCCCTCACCTCACAGAGGCCAGGGGCAGGGGCTTCATGTCCCAGCACTGACCCCCTGGCCAGCGCTAGCCCCAAGTGCACACAGCCAGGCTGCTTACCACCGTTCTTCCGGGGGGAGGAGGCTGGTGCGGGACTTCTCCTCCTCTGCTGCTTCCAGGGAGAGCTCTGTGGGGGCAGGGGAGGCATGCTGGGACGGGCTTGGCTCTGGGGGGCCCAGGTGTAACAGGAAGGTGGTAGCCAGGGGATGGGCAAACTGAAAGCTGCCACCGCTGGGGGAAAGGGGAGTGTCTCCCATCTGTTAATACTCGCTGCCGAGTCAGAAATCAAGTTTCCTGGGAGTGCTTAAAGGTGGGCTCCACCGCCCCTCCTCTCCCTTACCTGAAGACAGCATGAGGGGCCCGCTGGGCTCCTGGGCCTCCCTCAGGACCTGGAGAATAGGGAGAGGAGGAAAGGAAAACTGAGACCCCATGTCCCAGAAGCACCTGGATATACACTCGAACAGTAGGGTGGCGAGCATGCCAGAAGTGCAGACTGGGCCCACCCACGGGGTGCTGGCCCCACAGGAGGTGCAGGGCAGAGAGCCTGCTGGGAAGTCAAAGCTGAGCACAGGAGTGGGTGCGGTTACCTCAATATCACTAAGGGTTTCCATCTTTCTCCTCTCTTCCCCTGCTGCCGCCTCTCTCTCAACAGCCGCCTCATCTGGTCCCCGGGGCGGCATCTTTCTAAGCACACGCGGGGGCAGCTGGGCACAACGAGCCCAGAGAGCGAATAGTTCCGGAGGTAGCCAGCCAGCTGGGGGATGGGTAGTGAGGGAGGGTTGGTTGAGGGAAGAAGCACACCAAGGGTGAGGAATGTGGGTTCCGAGGGTCCCTGTGTCCAGCCCCCAGTGCTCACGTTGAGTTGGTGTACGGAACAGCTCAGCTGGGCTTACGGTTGTCCACTCAGGAGGCTGGACCATGGGCTGCAGGTGGGAGGCCAGAAACTCAGTTATGAGCAAGCCACCCCTCCCTGCTCGGGTGTCCTTTCAAGAGCCTCAGGCCTGCAGTCCCCTTCCCCCCTTCTGCTTGCACCACTCTTGCAAGGGGGTGGAGGAGTGCTCAGAACCTTCTCTTTGAGGCTCAGCCTGCATCGGCTTTTTAACCTGGTTGGTGCCCAAGGATGGGAAGGAGCCCTGGTGCCAGGCATGGTGATTACGTATTGGGTCACTAAACAGGGTCGACTGAAACCATCAAACACACCTTAGGAGAAAGACGAGGCTTTTTCTTGTAAAAAAGTTATCTCGGAAACTAACAAGGGCCATTCTACCCTGTCCTAGTGTCCCTATGCGTCAGAATCGGCTCGCCCTGAGGTTATTTGGGGGGTTGCCTAAGGTCATACTAGGCAGGGTCACTCAAGGAGCATGGAGAATGGTGGGTGTACAAACTCATCACCTAGTTCTCTGAGGGATGGAGCCCGAGTTTCCCATCAAATTCCCCGTTGGTTCCCAGGCTCCACCCACTGTCCCCTCCGTGGAACGGGGCCTGTACTCACACATTCCCAGCATTGTGCTTTGGTCTGCAATTGTTCCTGGAACTTCACCCGGGAGATCTGAGTCTCCTTGTCCCAAAACAGTAACTGGCGGCGACGTCGGCGGCGGGCGGGCGCAGGTGGACTCCCAGAAGGGGAGACTGGGGGCTTCTTGGGCTGAGTGGGGAATGGAGGCAGGACAGGCTATTCCTTAGTTCCTATCCTGTAGACTGCAAAGGACCCTCAGCGCCCACCCATACAGGGGTCCCGGGGAAGGGTTGGGGCAAGACCTCCACAGCTCTATGGGTGCAACCCTCAGGAGTGAGCAGGCCCTGAATGCCGAGGGCTGGGAAGAGGCACCTTTCGTTTCCACCACTGTAGGCTAGCAATGGCCTGCCCTTGGGCAAGGCCCGAAGGAGGAGGCTCCAAAGGGCCACGACTTACCCTGGGGCTTGGTGGGGCCGGCAGACGCAGCTCCTGGGGAGGGGTCACCTCTGCAACAACAACGGAGGTCTAGTCTGTCCCTGTGCCCCGTGTGGTCATCCAGACAAGCTGAAGGGGAGGGCAGGGCCTCTCTGAGAAGAGCCCCAGCCAGGGAGGGCACTCACCCACTGGCAGAGCCCCTGGCTCCCAGGGAGCTCGTTTAAGCTCCTCAGGGCCCACTTCCTGGCCTGGAGGCAGCTCTGCTGCCCCTTCCGCCCTGAAGGGAGAGGCAGAAGACAAATTAGCACCCTCACAGGCAGCAGGAGGCCCCGCCCAGTCTAGTCCTGGCTCTTACTGTGCAGAGACCAGAGGCGAGAGCGAGGGGACTGTAGCTTCACCCTCCGGGCCCCGGGGCTGCTCCTGGGCCTCTTCAGTCACTGAGGAGAGAGGACCAGGGGTTAGTGGGCAGAAGAGAGCAGATGGCTGCACTGCCCAGTCCCGGGTGGCTGGGGGGTCTGACCCTCAAGTGCTGGGTGGTGGGGCTCACGCTGCTGGCGAGGTCTGGCTCGCAGCCGTTCCTCCGACAATATTGCTTCATCTTCCTCAGCCATCAGCAGGTCCAGGGCTTGGCGGGTGACCTCAGGGAGGTCCTGCTCTCCCTGTTGGGGGAGATGAATACCAAGGGGAGGGAACATGATGACACACACCCCGTTTTCTCAAAAAGGCAACTAGATCCAGGAGGGCCCGAGGCATGACACAGAAACAAGGGGAGCCCACTGGGTGCTCGAAGGCCAGGGGAGTGCAGAAATGGGCGTGGATAAGTCGTCCGGGTTTGGGGCTGGGCGAAGGCCACGTGGAGAGGCAGGGTGGCTGTTAGAAGCAGGGCTTGGCCACAGGCCCTGAGCGGAAGTGCCCACTCACCTCGATCTGCAGCACGTGGATAGGCTCGGGCTCCTGAAGGGTGATGGCCTCGGGAGAGACCAGAGTACCCAGCATCTTGTCTGTAGGAGCAGGGAGTCACACTAAACCCTCCATTCCTTTCCAGGACCCCTCCCCCGGGCCAGGAGGCAGAAAGCACAGCCTCGTGTCCAGTCCACCGGTGCACTAGTCAGCCCAGCACTAGTTGGCACTAGAATGCCAACCCCACTCCCCTCACTTGCCTCATCTGTGAACCGCGGGGATGGAAAGTCTGGCCTAAGACTCGGGAAGTAGCCGTGGGTTTCCACGTCTCTGTGCTCACCTGGCTTCTTGGGGACTTCAGGTGAGATCTCAAGAACTCTTTCTGGGGTCACCGCCTCCAGGAGGTGTCGAATCTTTGGGAAGGGATGGAGGAAAAAAGGATTTGGTGTCAGCCTCGTTCTCTACCTTTATAGCCTTACACATTCAAACCAAACCTGTTGCCGTCAAACTGATTCCAACTCATAGTGGCCCTACCGGGCAGCAGTCTCCAAGGCTGGAAGCTTGCAGGAGCAGACTGCCATTATCCTTCTCCCAAGGAAGTGGCCAGTGGGTTCGAACCACCGACCTTTCGGTTAGCACCCAAGCCCTTAACCACTGCAGCATCAGGGACCTTTGACACCGAGGCAGTAGATGGTAGTATCCTTCTGTTTGTTCCTCTGGCATTAACACCAGTTTGCATTAAGTCCATTCCCCATCGGTCTCCTTTCTTCTCCATGCCCACCAGGGGCCTTTTGTCCGTCTGTCTAGGCAACAAGCACTAACTCCTAATGTCAAATGTCACGAGGGACAGAGGTGAACAGAAAAGAGGCATGGCCTTACGGAGCAGATAGTCTAGCAGGGAGACACGTTTGTATAAGACCTCAATAGTCAGCACAAAAGGTAAAACACGGCTTCCTAATGCTTGGAGTCCCGGAACAACATTTAATTCAGCTCAGAAACCAAACTCACTGCCATTGAGTCCATAGTGACCCTGTAGGACAGGCTAAAACCGCCTCTGTGAGTTTCCGAGACTAACTGTCTGGGAGTAGGATGCCCCATTTGTCACCCTCGGAGCAGCTGGTGGTTTCAAACTGCTGACCTTGTGGTTTAGCAGCCCAGGGTGGAACCGCTATGCTAACCAGGAAGCATGACAGAGGGCAGCCTGTGAGCCAGGTCTGCAAGGACATGTAGGACACAGGAAGCAGAGTCTAAGAGATGACCATTTGAGCTAGGGAGGGGAAACCACAGTGAGAGTGGAGCGCAGGGGGCAGCTGTTGCCTGAAAGCCAAAGCTGCTCAGAGGACGTGCTGAGAGTTGTCTGGAAAGGGCTAACTCTGGTTTGCAGTGAGGAGCTGCTGCAAGGGCCCTTGGAGATGAAGGACGGAGGTAGGGCTGTGGAAAACGGAGAAGCCCTGTGTTGAGAGACGGTTGATGAGAGCCTGGATTAGGGCCTCGGTGGCAGCAGGAACAATGTGGATAGGAACTGTCTCGAGGAGAGACCGTCCTAGCAGCTCGTTCTGAATGGGTGAGCAGGGGCCTTGCCTGTAGGGGAGAATGATGGCAGGCCCACTCTCCCTAACCCACTCCCAGACTGGCCCAGGGACAGCCCTTTTGCATTGTCTTGTCATGAGTTCAGCGTGCCTCAGGACACTGAGCTCTACCTGGGGGATTTCAAAGGGGTCAGGAAGTTGGGGGTCCACAGACATCATTCCAAAAAAAGGGTCAGGAGCATCTTCCAGCGTCTCCATCATGGTCATGATGTTAGGCAGCAGCAAGCTGGGTCTGGGGGAGAGAAGGGGCGATCAGGAATCTCAGCTGGGGTGTGCGGAGAGCAAGCAAGTAGAGGCTTCACCAAAGGCCGGGTGGGCTCAGCCCCAGGGGGACACTCACAATTCGGTGTCTGCCATATCGATGCGGATCTGCTGCTGGGCCCGATGCAGATGATCCAAGATGTGCTGGATGTCCTCTGTGGGTAGGAAGGGCAGGGTGGGGCAGGTCGGCACCAGGAGCCAGGCGCCCGGGCTCTGCCCCCTTTCTTGGGCTCCCTGCCTTACCGATGAGGTACTGGCACTGTTGGTAGTAGACCCGGATCACACCGATCTGGAGCTGGGCTGACAGGTAGAGAGCGAAGCAGGGCCGCGGCAGGCCAGGCTCCAGGGGCGCCACTCGGACCAGGACATAGTTGAGGATTTCCTCACTGGGTCAGGGCGGGGATGGGGGGGTGGGGTGGGGGTGTTGAGAATTCAGTGACCTTTTCACCGCCCCCCCAGGGGACCAGTCTCCCAGCCTTGCCCGCGTGTGAGGCGGGGAGCCTTGCTCTGCCCCCACGCAGGAGCCAGGCCTCTTCCCACCTCTCGGAGCCTTACCAGGTCTTCGCCACGTTCACCTTCAGGTATTCCCGCTTCATCAGGCGGCTTCCGCGCGTGGCGGCCAGCCTGGAGCAGGGGGGGGGGG